TATCTATCTATCTATCTATCTATCTATCTATCTATCTATCTATCTATCTATCTATCTATCTACTATCTATCTATAGTATCTATTTATTTATCTATCATTGTCTGTCTTTCATATCTGTCAGTCTTTATCCATCTATCTCAATCTGTCTGTCTGTCTGTATCATCTATCTAGCCATAGTGCTGCAATGGTTAGAGTGCAGTACTGCAGGCTACTTCTGCTGCCTGCAGGCTGCCTGCAATTTGGCTCAAATCTCACCAGGCTCAAGATTAGACTCAGCCTTCCATCCTTCTGAGGCCGGTAAAATGAGGACCCAGATTGTTGAGGACAATAGGTTGACTCTATAAACTGCTGAGAGAGGACCGTAAAAGAACTGTGAAACAGTATATAAGTCTAAGTGCTATTGCTGTAGTTGATTAGATGTTGCATTAGGAGCCCTGATAGTGCGGTGGTTAAAATGTGGTATTGCAGGCTGACTCTGCCCACAGTCAGGAGTTCAATGCTGACTGGCTCAAGGTTGACTCAGCCTTCCATCCTTCCGAGGTGGGTAAAATGAGGACCCAGATTGTTGGGGGCAAGAGGCTGACCCTGTAAACTGCTCAGAGAGGGCTGAAAAGCACCGTGAAGCGGTATATAAGCCTAAGGGCTATTGCCATATCATCCACTTGAAATAGCTTGCTGGCAGTCTAGTTCGATATTTCTCCACTTGGCCAACTTTAAGATGTGTGGATTTCAACTCCCAGAATTCCCCAGTCAGCAATGCTTAAAGTTGCCGAGGTGGAGAAACTCCAACTTGGGGGCCTCTTGAGATCAACCATCCAAGCACATCCTGATTCTGTACTCGTCCGAACTGAACTGTAGGATTCGTTTTGATCTGGAAAACCAAATTTGCCGGGACTTACCTCCACTTTCTTCCCTAAAAAGGCCTGCAGGAAAGCGGACTTGCCAGATCCCTGAGACCCGATCACTTTGCACAGGAAGACATTCCGGTGAGTCTGGCCTTTCTCCAAGTCGATCTTTTTCCCCCGGGTGACTGGAAGAAAAACGGAGAGGGGGATGAGAAAGGATGCTGAAGGAAGAGGACTTTCTTTCTTTCTTTCTTTCTTTCTTTCTTTCTTTCTTTCTTTCTTTCTTTCTCTCTCTCTCTCTCTTACTTTCTTTCCTTCCTTCCTTCCTTCCTTCCCTTTCCTGCTTCCTTGACTTCTTGCCTTTTTGCAGGAAGCAGGAGGAGACGAGTTTAATTCATGCAGCCGATTCATTCTGGAGGTTTTGGCCAGGACTGGGGGAGGATGACTGAATCTCCAGTTCCCCCATGCCCGTGATGGCCAACCTATGGCATGCTTGCCAGAAGCTGCACGCAGAGCCATCTCTCTGGGCATGCGAGCCGTCCCCCGTTGCTCTTCCGGGTTCTGCCACGCCAGCCAGCTGGTCTCTGCATGCCAGAAACTGGAAGACCAGGCGGCCGGTGTGTGCTGGGTGCCTGCTCTTCTGGTTTCCAGTGCGTGCATGCGCAATGTCCACTTGGTCTTCCGGTTTCTGGCACGCATAGATCAGCTGGGTGGTGCGCATGCATTGCTCCGGAAACAGGAAGATCATCTTCTTGGCGTGCACATGTGCACCAGGTGGCTGCTCTTCCAGTTCCAGCACAAATGTGTGCGCCTGTTTTGGCAATCGGCGCCAAAAAGATTCGCCAACACTGCCCCATTCTATAGGGAGTCCTCAACTTACGACCACAATGGGGGCGAAGGGAGCAGGATTGCTACCGATAAGCAAGGTTCTTAAAAGTTTTCTGTCTGATTTTACAACCTCTCTTTTGTGACGCGAAATCACTGCTGTTGTTAAGCGAATTACATGGCTGTTAAGTGAATCCAGCTCCCCCCCCCCCCTTGACATGGCTTTGTTTGAAGCTGGCTAGGGAGATTGCAAATGGGGCTGATGTGACCCCAGGAAGCTGCAACCATCGTAAATCCATGTCAGGGTCCAAGGATGGTTGTAACTGCGAGAACCGGTCGTAAGTCACCCCTCTTGGTGCTGTTGTCACTTTGAACAGCTACTCAACTTACGACCACAAACGACCCCAAAATTTATGTTATTAGGCAAGACAGTCCCTAAGTGAACGTTGCCCTATTTTACAACCTTTCTTACCATTGCCGTTAAGTGAATCACTGCAATTGCTAAGTTAGTAACACGGCTGTTAAGTGAACCTGACTTCCCCATTGACTTTTTGCTTGTCAGAAGGTCACAAAAGATCACAGAACCCCAGGTTCACCACGACCGTCATAAATATGAATCAGTTCCAAGCATCTGAATTTTGATCTCATGACTCATAGGGATGCTACAATGGTCATATATGTGAAAAACAGTCATAAGGCATTTTTTTTCAGTGTCACTGTAACTTTGAACAGTTAGTAAACAAACCGTTGTATTGAGGTGGCAGGTTGAACCAAGGTAGGCCTCAAGCCTGAACCAAACTAGGGTTTCATGATATTAAGCTTTAACTGTTCATATAGAAATTGCAAGGTTTGCTTTTAGGACATAGTGCGGTTAGATGCGAGTTTGAAGGGAGTCTGCACATGAAATATGCTGAAGCGAAGAATCTATTTTAGCCTATTTGCTGGCTTGGTTGTTATTCTGTTTGGTAGACACATATTGTTAGTTCCTCAAAATACATGCTATGTCTGTCCGTTGGCCGACCTATGTATTATGACTTCCTGTAGACATACTTTCTGTAACTCAAGGGCAAATCTTGAGGGGTGTTTCCAAAACTAACAGATGGCTTTAGCTGAAAGCAATAAACTATATAAGGAATTTCCTGACTTTCATTCATTGTTCAGGCCATTCTTTCTGAACCTGCGCAATAAACATTTCCTTCTCTGAAGAGCTGGCTTTTGTGTCCCGTCTTTTCTACAATAGTATGTTAAGGACTAGTCGTTACTCTGAGAACTAACCGCACATGAGTTCAGAAAGAGGAGAGTTTCAGCAGGTGATTTACCTGTGATGGCGTAAATCTGAGAGTCCTGCTGTGAGAAGATGGGGTACCCCAGGTAGCCCAAGTATTCTAAGCAGCGATGGACGTCCAGGTAGGCAACCAGCCTGGGGGGGAAATCCAAGCACAGAAAAAGAAGCACACCTGTTATAGGACCAAGCCACCCAGGGAAGGGAGGAGAAGTGATCTGACGGGAGGCAGAGAGAGGCTGCGCTTACGTCCACTGGCAGAGGAATCCATGCAGGGAAAGCAGGCCTTTATCTGTGGTGCATACCGTGTGGTAGAGCTCAGGTCCCCAGGGGATGTAGGGGAACACACCAAAGAAGTTCTGCAGCTCGACGGGCGAGAGGGCGCCGTCACAATCCTACAAGCCAGAGGAAAGAAACAGGTCCTGAGTGGCAGCTCTCCCTTTCTGCAAACGACAAGACCACCATGCCTACAGCAGCCTGAGAAGCCCCCTGCATCTTCGGTAACTTCAGCTACAAAAATGCTCAGGGTGCTGCTGTGCCCTTGCCCTCAGCATCTGGCATAGCTTTGGCCAGAGGGGTGAGGTCAAAAGCTGAACAGAGGCAAGTGTTGGAGAAGGGGTGGGGACAGAAATGCCAATTCTCCTATCGGTCAGAGCTGCTTGCCATTACCAACAGAGAACTAAAGAGTTCTTACTTCTTTCTTTCTTGGGAAAGATGCCCTTGTGAGAGGTAAAGGTTCCCCTCACACACATGTGCTAGTCGTTCCCAACTCTAGGGGGCGGTGCTCATCTCCGTTTCAAAGCCGAAGAGCCAGCGCTGTCTGAAGACGTCTCCGTGGTCATGTGGCTGGCATGACTCAATGCCAAAGGCGCACGGAACGCTGTTACCTTCCCACCAAAGGTGTCTCTATTTTTCTACTTGCATTTTTTACGTGCTTTCGTAAAAAATGGGTTGGCAGAAGCTGAGACAAGTCATGGGAGTTCACTCCGTTACGTGGCGCTAGGGATTCGAACCGCCGAACTGCCAGCCTTTCTGATCAACAAGCTCAGCGTCTTAGCCACTGAGCCACCATGACCCCTCATGAGAAGCACCAGCTTAATGCTGTAGCCAAAGGGGGAGGTCAGCTTTGCTTCCCTTTTTCCGGTCAAACCGATGGCACCTCTTCTGTTTCCTCTCCCGACAAAGGGAACATTCAGGTTGCCACATACATTCCTCCTTCTGCCTCTCTTCTTTCTCCCTTCTTCCAAAACCCTTATTCCTATATCTCCCCTAATTTGAATTACAAAGACTTTTCCTGGCATCTCCGTCACTGCTTTGCCAGAGTTGGCGATCCGGTTGCTGATGAAATATGGGATCAACCATTGTGCAACCACTATGGGGTGGAAAAGCGCACCGCACACAATGAAGATGTGCTGTTTCCGCTTCTTTGCCGCTTACCTTGTCATGTTTCTCAAACATCCGTTGCAGGAATTGGTACCCGAAGTGGTTGAGCTCTGTAGTACAGTCCTGGGGTACCCGGATCCTGAAGGAGACAAGAGCAGAATTTGAGGTAGGATCTGGAGTCTGATGAATAGTAAGAGCCATGGTGGCACAGTGGTTAGAAGGCAGTACTGCAGGCTACTTCTGTTGACTGCTGTTTGCCTGCACTTTGGCAGTTCGAACCTCATCAGGCTTAAGTTTGATTCAGCCTTCCATCTTTCCGAGCTGGGTAAAACAAGGACCCAGATTGTTGGGGGCAAGAGGCTGACTCTGTAAACCGCTTAGAGAGGACTGGAAAAAGCACTGTAAAGTGGCATATAAGTCTAATTGATATTGTTCTTTTTTTCCCTTCCTTCCTTCCTTCCTTCCTTCCTTCCTTCCTTCCTTCCTTCCTTCCTTCCTTCCTTCCTTCCTTCCTTCCTTCCTTCCTTCCTTCCTTCCATCCATCCATCCATCCATCCATCCATGGTGGTAGTGGTTAGAATGTAGTATTGCAGGCTAACTCTGCCAGCAGTTCGATTCTCACCAGACTCAAGGTTGACTCAGCCTTCCATCCTTCCAAGGTGGATAAAATGGAGGACTCAGATTGTTGGGGTCAAGAGGCTAACTCTGTAAACCGCTTAGAGAGGGCTGTGAAAGCACTGTGAAATGGTATGTAAGTCAAAGTGCTACTGCTATTTTCCAACTACTACAACCATTAGCCCCTCCGAGACCCCAGAATCTTGCTGCAATGCAATACAAGTAGTTCTCAACCTACAACCTTTCATTTAGCGACCGTTCAAAGTTACAACGGCACTGAAAATGTGCTTATGGCCGTTTTTCACACTTATGATCATTCCAGCACCCCCATAATCACTATATACCACTTCACAGTGCTTTTCCAGCCCCCACTAAGCGATTTAGAGAGTCAGCCTCTTGCCCCCAACAATCTGGGTCCTCATTTTACCGACCTCGGAAGGAGGGAAGGCTGAGTCAACCTTGAGCCTGGTGACATTCGAACTGCTGGCAGAGTTAGCCTGCAATACTACATAGTGAAGTGCTATGTAAGTCTAAGTGTTACTACTATTTTCCAACTACTACAACCATTAGTCACCCCAAGACCCCAGAATCTTGCTATAATGCAATACAGATAGTTCTCAACCTACAACCTTTCATTTAGTGACCATTCAAAAGTTACAACGGAGTTCAGGTTGACTCACACTGGGCAGAGATAGTCATCGGTCAGCTCCAGGGCATCGTCATAGCCAAAGCGGCGGAGAATGGTCCATGTAGTCTCGTGACGCCCTCTCTGGATGAAGAGGGTGTTGAGGAAAAGGAAGCCTGGGGAGAGACAAGGGGGCAGTATCATTCATAAGAGGCAACTACAGCAAAGCTACCCCATGGGGACAGACTTGAGTCTTCTCAACCTCAACAGCATAGAACACAACAGAATAACAAACATGGAGACTTTGGAGGTCTTCTAGTCCAATCCCCTACTTAGGCAGGAAATCCTCCTGTCAGGCCTGCAATTATATTCCTTTTAGAATTTTGGCCTGCCACACTTTCTCTTATTTCATTATGCTGTTTCATTAGTATACTTGATGGGAGGGGGGAATAGACAAGAGTGGGATTGTGGAATGTATTGTTATCATTCTTTTCTAGAAGACCAAGGTCATCTTTTGTCTCCGCACTTTTACACCTGACTGGAAGCAGCTGGGTGGAGACGCCAGCGTGGAAGAAGATTGGACCATGTGATGGATTGTGGGTGTGGGGACAAGATCATGAACTTTTAACTGGGTGGGATTCTGATGTCATTTCCAGAATTGGGATTAACACAGATGTGCTAAGATGTCTGCTTTATTAAATTGGAACTTTAAGGATCGTTTTCCCTTGGACTCTGATTTAATTCTACATGATACTTGGAACGCTGACACCTACACCACTTTGGTTGTCCAATCTCTTCTTTAAAACCTCCAGTGTTGGAACATTCACAACTTCTGGAGGCAAGCTGTTCCACTGATGAATTGTTCCCACTGTCAGGAAATTTCTCCTTAGTTCTAGGTTGCTTCTCTCCTTGATTAGTTTCCATCCATTGCTTCTGCCTTGGGGTGCTTTGGAGAATAGGTTAACCCCCCATTTCTTTGTGGCAGCCCCTCAAATATTGGAACACTGCTATCATATTATCCTTACTCTTTCTATTAAACCAGACATATCCAATTCCAGCAACTGTTCTTTATATGTTTTAGCTCCCAGTTCCCTAATCATCCTTGTTGCTTTTCCCTGCACTCTATTTCTAGAGTCTCAACATCTTTTTTTAAGTAACATTTCCAGAGCCAGCTCCTTAAAGAGGAGTGGACTGTTGTACTTACCGTTGAGTGTAAGGCCATTGTCCTGGACACCGTCTGTCGTGTTCTTCCACACCACCATTTTGACATCTTCCAGAGCCTGAGGAGCCAACGGGTTTCCAAAGCAGGATTTCTACTTCCCGGGAAAAGCAAGGAGATCAGTTCCTTATCCACATAAAGAAGTAATAGAAGCATCAGACTGACTCAGAGAGGAGGTAACAACTGTTGGGAAGCTTGGTATATTCCAAATTCTCTCAAAATCAATGAATAGAATAGAATGGAATAGAACATTGAGAATAAAATATGGAATACGGAACAGAAGAGAAGACGGAATACAGATAATAGAATAGAATAGAATATTGGAATGAAGCACAGAATGGATTGCGTGGTGTGGTGTGGCGTAGGGTAGGGTAGAATAGAATACTTTATTGGCCGTGTGGTTGGACATTCAAAGACAGGTGATCCCTATTTTTCTACTTGCATTTTGAACTGCTAGGTTGGCAGAAGCTGAGACAAGTAACGGGAACTCACTCCGTTATGTGGCACTAGGGATTTGAACCGCCAAACTGCCAACCTTTCTGATCGACAAACTCAGCATCTTAGCCACTGAGCCATCGCGTCCCTACCATACACATACATATGCTATATTATATCTATCTATCTGTATCTATCTGTTTGTCTGTCTATCTCTATATATCTAAAATCTATCTATATATCAGTATATCTATATCTATATCTATGTCTGTCTGTCTGTCTATCTATATCTATCTATAATCCATCTATAGAGATGATAGAGATTATAGATTATAGAGATTATACACTGAGCCACCACGTCCTTTTAATAATTCAAACAATATTGTCAAAAGACAACCGCAGTGATTTAACAACCGTGGCAAGAAAGGTGGTTAACATGGGGCAAAACTCACTTAAAGAAATGTTCTGCTTAGAAACAGAAGTTTCAGGCATAATGGTGGTCGTAAATTGAAGACTATCTGCCCTACTATGCCTATTGAAAGCATAATTTAGATTTTTTTTTTTAGATTTTATTTAGCATTTATAGGCCGCTCTTTTCCCTGGGGGGACTCAGGGCGGCTTACAATAGTAAGGGAAGG